ACATTTATTTTATTATATATTAAATATTGTTCCACTGAAACAAGGAAGTTCATTAATATTTTTCTAACTTAGTGCCACTCCTTTAAATAATTTATTGCTTGTGACAATCATTTTAATGTTTGGGTGGAAATAGAAAAGAATGTTATTTGACGTGTAAAGATATTTATTGATATTTTTCGAGAAACCAAACAATCCTGCTTGTTGAATCAAACACTCGTTTGTTTCATTGCAAGGCAAATTTGTTTCAATTAAAAAAAACGTTACTAAATCCAAAGAAATCTTTTTCCCTGTGTACGATCTATGTACGGTTATCAAATACCGATAATAATCATTATTAACGTCGATTAATCTCTGTTATTTTTCATCCAGAGAGAAGCAGAAATGTTCGTAGAAATCCCACAGTCGATTTTGCAGCTGCGAAGTTCACCTGGACATTCGTCAAGTTTACGCGGGTGTGAAGTTTCACGTTTTACCGATACTCCCTAATGGCATTCCTAATTAAAATCGAGAGCGAAGTAATTCTACTCTAACTCTAAGTTGTAACTCCGTTACAACTAACATCCGCGCTCCGACTTGCTGTATAACACAGGACGTGCATTTACATAGGGAATACCCTGGCACGCAGATTCGATGTTTCCGTCGGTGTGCGCTCGCCTTACATAATGTACCAATTAAAACTCCGTCGCATTAATGAAGGATTAACAACCGATCGGCCCCGGGCTTCCACCCGGCGGTTTCGCGCGACGAATTTCCCGACGCGAAGCACCTTTAATTTCATGCTCGATCGAGATGCAAGACTCCTCGGCGAGACGTTCGCGCATCCCCCTCCCCCTCTCACTCCTCATGGCAGCTCCCTTACGCAAACTTCCGGATTGAAGAGCGACGAGCGAGCAAAAGACGGACTATCGGCGAAACTTGCGTCTGAAGCTCGCCAATTGAAAACTGTCGGTCGAAGGAGTTATCGCGCTTAAGAAGGCAACAGCCGCCCTCTCGCGTTCCTTTCCCCTCCTGCCCGCTCCCCCCTTTGGTCCGGCGGAACCACGATTAATGTGCCATTAAGAGAGATTGGAAATCCTTTCGGCCCCGGAGACTTTCGTCGCCCAACAGCGGACGACGAAGTTCCCACAGGCGCTCGCGCCGTCCACGATTTTGCATTCCATTTGCCGGGGAACGTTATCCCCGCTTCGCTTTCGTTCTCCCGAGGGTGCACTTGCCGCCAGGCGGTAGCCACGCCGGAGGTAAATCGTATTTGCATGAGGGCCTCTCCGCTTCTCCACTCAGGTAGATTTCGACGACCTTCCCCCCCCCCTCTCTCTCTCTCTCTCTCTCGGTGGCCTCTATGACACCGTCTCGTTGTTTCCCCGAGAAAGTTACAACGTCCGTTTCGACGCGAAGTACTTCCGTCTACGACGGCTCGCCTTCGCTGTATGTGCGAAAACTTCGCGCCGACCGTCGCTCCTGGTGCGCGCCAGTGATGAACCTAATACCGGTGGAATTCAATCCGCGGGATACTAAATCCTCGGATACACCGGATACACCGATTCTTGAATTTCCGGATATATTAATCTTTCCTGCCGAAGAGACGGGGGAGATGGAAGAGGATTCCTTCGCGAGGATACGACGGAGAATGAAATTTCCGGAAGGTCGTGTCTGCAAATCGCGATCTGCCTGTCGTGGCCGGTGCGGCCGACTAAGCGTGTCGGGGAGCCAAAGGTCTCGATATTCGGCGTGGGTAATAATATTTAACGATATATATAACAGTAACGATAATGACAACGAAGCCAGCGAGACTCGCGTCTCCTTAAATCGCGAGCGTTTAGCCGTTGCGACACGGCGGCCTCGGCCAAAATTGTAAGACCGGAATTAACGACCGTCGATACATTTCACGGTGTGTTTGCCGTGGGATAGACATTATTGCTCTCCATTACCACACCATAGTCGGGAGAAGTTACCGGTGCGAAATACGCCGGTTGGATGTTTACGAGGATAGCCCGACCGACCGGCCGGCCGGTGTTACGGCATTGAACTTGGCCCCATGCCTGAAACTTTTTAATTTATTCGCACAACCTTCGCTTTTGGAGTTTGTTAACCCTTCGCGGTCGTTGCCACTGCAACACCGTCGCAGCGGCTGCCGCCGCCGCTTGTTTTGCGCCGCGCACGGTGATATATCATTCGGCGCGCTGCATCGGGCAGAGTGTTCTCAAGCGAACGCTCGCCGCGCCACGGAGAGGAGAGCGAAAAATCGCGCTCCGGCGATATTTTAGATAATTTTCACATCGGTCAATGAAAGCGGCGAGTTTCCTAAATTGCGTTTTATTGCGGGTAAGGGGGAGGGGGGCGCGACCACCCGCTATTGTACGTTTGATAAATCCTCTTGCATGGCTGTTATTTGCCCCGGTAATTCAATCCCCGTGGAGAACCAATAGCGGAATATCATCGTAAATTCTGTTATTTTGTATAGGTCGACCTCTTTTTCTCGCTATCTCGCTCTCATACGCACACACATACACACGGGATATTAAATCGCTGCGTACGATTTTATTTTTGCTACGGTATTGAAATATTATTCCCAATTTGTTATTCAAACTTTATATTATTTCACGATTACCTTTCAAAGCTGAATACGCCACACTTCCGTCGGCTTAGTCAATTGTGTTTCGTGAACGTTTTGTTTTCTTTTTCTAGTTTTTAACAAATCCCTAACTAATCCTCCCTCTCTTTCTCGTCTCACTCGGATTGAATCGTTCGTTAAATTTAATTAAAACGCACACGAGACCGTGCGATCGAATTATTCACCGTCGAAAATCTCTCTCCTCCTTGTTATTATTTTTACGTTATTCAAGAATCTCCGCATTAAAATTGTGCAATTTTAATCGCGGTACTTTCAATTAAACACACATCTAATACCACGTGGATATCGCCGCGTTTTGTATCTGTTCCATTGCACTTCATATTCATACCCTTCGCCGGCACTCGAAAGGGGTCGTACCGGAGTAACATACTGCGTTGCGACCGCTATTATTCGTGGGAAATTCAGGGCGCGTAATCGCATTCTGCCTCCCTCATTTAACGAGCGGAAACATTATTAACGAGCGTACACCCGAGTGTCTGTTCTTTTATTTTCTTTCCTTCCTTTTTCACCTGTGCCCACCATCGCCACTACCACCACCACCGTCGTCGCCACCGTGCCGCACCGACGGCGAGCGACTCTTCGTCGCCTCGTTTTTTCCCCTCCTCTTTTTCTGAAAGCCATTGTCTACACGGTCGTCGCCGTTTCTCAGCGACGTGGCGTGGGAAGGTTCGCAGGGCCTTAAAGTTCGCGCCGTCCAAGGTGAGGGTACGCGCGCGCGAACCGGGGAAACCGAGCCCCGCCACTCTAACCCAATTTATATCGGCGCGCGTTGCCGTGAGTCCCTGTAAGGCTACATCGACGAGCGTCTCCTCGCGCGGAACAGCGCGGAGCGAAACGGTTTAGACACAGTGGAGTTCAAAGCGCAGCCGATGGTCCGATGAGAGAACGAATTAGTGAAAAATTAGCTCTCTCATTGGACCATCGGCTGCGCTCCCAACACTGAAAAATGGGCTTGGTTGGATCTACTTGACAACGGGCAACCGAACGGGCTTTGAGTTAGGAAAAATGTAATTTCTCATGAAGCAAATCTGCTTCTTGTAACTAGAAATTCATATATTCCTTCGATATACGTACAGAGGAAAAGATTTCTTCAGATTTAATAAAGTGTCTTTGCTTGATACGATTTTGTCTTTTGCGGTGGAGCAAATAAACGGATAAAGGATTGTTTGCAATAAATATCTCTTTACGTCAAATAATATATTCTTTTTCTATTTGCATCCAAACATTACAATAGTCGTCACAAGCAATAAATTATTTGAAAGGCATAACATTATGTGTTAGAAAAATATTAATGAACTTTTTTTGTTTCAGTGGAATAATATTTAATATGTAATGAAATACATTTTTTGTATTGAAAATCAAATATTATTTCCTCTAAATATATATGCATATATTGTTCTTTCTATTAAACAACATAATTTACTTTACTGAAACAATAATATTGCATTCAAATAAAATGATACTCGATATTAAATTATCTTGTTTAAATAAAACAAACCCAAGTCTTCTTCTTCTCTCAAATCTCGCAATCTTTTTCTTCGTGCGCAAAATACAAAAATGACTCTCAAATATTCTCGCACGAGAATATTTCCGAAACTAGCTCGCGTTCGAAACAAATTTCAGTTCCATCAGTTTTATCATTTACGCAGAAATTACTAGCAGAACGCTACGAAGCTCGATATCCCGCTACAAGTACAGGATTATCATTGCGTGCAGATTAAACATCCGCGTGAAACGTGGAAAAATGATACGTTTTAATCTGGATCGCTCGCATCCTAAGCGTAGCAATCAACGATCGGTTTCAAAAAAAACATTTATCGCCCACTTAGCCGATCGGAGAGGCGATTTGTAGCCGGTTACCGCATTACCAGGTTATCACGCTGCGTCGTTACGTCAGAACAAAGAGCGCATTACAATTGCAGATTCGCGAATCTAGATTTGAAAATACCACGGAGGCCGACTAGCCGCGTACCGTTCTGGAACAACACTCATCGGCATTCACACGGCGTATGTTTTCACGCGAGCGTATTCGTGTGAATATATGTGTGTGTGTGTGTGTGTAGGTACGTAGCTTAATAAGGAGGGCGCAGAGCGGCGCGCAGAGCCCTAATTAAGTAATTACCGAACGCGATTAATTTGCGGCCGTAACTAATTAGCATCCATCCGCGGCGGTACGAATAATAGCGCATTTCACTGGGGCAATGGGCCTTCGCCCTCTCCCCCGCAGCCTCTCCCCCCTCGTCCGTTCAGCAGCGCGTTCTCCCTCTTCCCGTACGTCCTAATCACATATTAATACGTAACCCACGCAACAATCGGCATTTCGAGGCGCATACTAATCGGTCGGCATTGTTTGTTCTTTCTGTTGCAGCCGGAAGAACGCGATCATTCTCAGGACCCAGCTGTCCGTGAGGGTTCACACCATCATAGGTGAGTAGATCGCCGACGCGCGGATCCTTCTGATTCAAATCTCGCGACGGGCTCCCACGATCCACTTGGATGGATCATCCTCGGCGCGCCGCGCTGATTCCTCGACCCTTAACCGCCGACGTTGGGTCGAGACACTCGTTCTAGTTACTCGGTCACTTGTTTCGGTTCACCGACGACGGTGACCTTCCGCTAACTGTAACGCCGATGCTGCAAGGCATATCGAGTTTTGACGATCGCAGATGGAGACGGATGACGGTACAAAAGACCCCATTAATGCTCTCCCGTTCCCCAGGCATATAGTAACATCGGAAATTTCCAATTAAGCGCCTTATTTCGGAATATTCATGCATCATGACCGTTGATTACTCTATGAAGTGGCAACGATGCTCCAAAGGAGCAGTCGTGATGAATAAATATTTGGAAGTGATGTGTCTCTTTGGAGATTTCCGATGTCGCTATGTTTACGCAGTAAAAAGTTTTGTGTTAAATTTAATATAATTCACCTATTTTAAACGGTCTCTTCGCGTTTTTGTGTTAATTTAAGGTGAGTTTGTTGAAAAGTAACAAAGATGTTATGTAAAAAATTAACGTAAAATTAAATACGTTAACTGACGCTGAAATATAATATGTGCTATTTTATTATTATTATTATTATAGAGAGAAAGGAAGGGAAAGCACATATACACACACATATACACACGTGTTATAGGAATAAATTTAATATTCAAATATATACAATTTGCCAAACATTGGCCTATAATCATGACATTATGCAACATTGCATTTACAATAATCTATTATCTAATACAATAGTTGAATTATTTATAAATGTTAAGATGTTAATGTGAACACGATATGTTAATGCATGAGTATGTAGAAATTTAAGACAGAAATTTTCACAAGAACCGATTTTAACACGGGTACAAAATGTTTTTTACTGTGTACAGGGAATGGGGCATTAATTGAAGTCTTCTATACGTCGGCAACGCGAGCTGCACGTAGACGTGTTGATTTCGCGCATGGAAATTCCCGTTTCGTGCCGCTTTTCGAGGTCGCGTCTGTTTTGGCGAAATTAATTCGGAAACGTCATTTTGTTTTCGCGGCTTGATTTATGAGTAGCGGATATCATTTTCACGTATGTGTACGTGTATTGATATTTATTACCCCGTATTTATGATCACTCGAAAGAGCGTTTCGCTTCATTCTGATGATCACATCACATCACTCGTTTCGGTTTGCCGACGGTAAATAGTCACAATGTGACCAATTCGTCATTACCCGCAAACATAATCCGGCATATTTAATCGTTGTAGCTCAGTGAGATATGAATATACGCGGACCGCGCGTGTCATTAATAGCAAATGACATGTGTCGGGTATAATACCGATTACATCCGCGCCGGATCGATGACGTTTCGAAACAAAGACCGCAGGTCCTCCTCCATCCCATGGTCGTCGAGGCGGGCAGGTGACTCCTTAATATCGAGAGGCCTCGTCAAGAGCGCGAACGATAACAGGAACGACGGCTGTAATTAAATTCACGACACGTTGTTCGCGAGCGGCGAGATACGCGCGGCCCCGTCTTTTAAAAATGCATTCCGCGACATAATTATACAATGTCGCGAACAATAAGCCTCCGTTGTCTGCTGATAATTAGCAAAGTAATGACCGTGCTGCTGAGTGCAGAACGCTGTACCTGCGAAAATCGAGCTAATCCTTTATCGTAGCCCGGCCACCATTCATCACTGACTATGACAGACGGTACTTAATCACGCAATGTCGAATAAAAACTCCCTCTCCGTCCTACATTCTTTTTACTCGCGATATTACAAAATTCGTTATTGGACCTGCGACCGATAACGATCGATAGTGCCAATACTTCCATCTAATCGTTTCATTGACAAATGACTCTCACGCATTTAAGAGTTTTATTTAAAAAATCCTTGCGCGTCGCGGGAGAGACTATTCGATAATCCCCCTCCGCCGACTCTGTCGAATATCTCACGGAGGTGCGCTCGATTTTTCTCGTCGTCTAATGCGTTCGAATCGGAGACGCACACATACATACATATATATATACATATATATACATACATATATGTACATATATATATATATATATATGTATATATATATATATATATACGAGAGAAAACACGCGCTCAAAATAGATGCTGAGAATAAAATTTGCGAGCGATTATGCACGTCGGCTACACCTGCGGGGCTTCGTGTCCTGGTTCATTGAACCCCGACGAAGGCGCTGGTGGAGATGATCGAAGGTACAGAATAAGCGAAAAAAAGAAAGCCCCCAAAAGGGCAGAGGGAGGAGCGGAAGCCGAAGTGGACCGTGCCGTTTTACATATTTTAACGGTTCTTCGTGTACCGCCGGCCCCCGCGAAGTTCGCCCGTCCTTTCCTCCTTCTTTTTTCCTTCTTTCCTTTCTTTCTTTTCTTTTCTGCCCCGTCGTCTGCCCTCCGCTTTCTTCTCCGTGAGCCGGCGCACGGCTGCCTTCGACGGAACGGCGAGTAATAACGACCCTATCTTGGGAAACGTCCCGTATTTTTCCCTTCTTCTTTCTCTCCTCCCGTGTGGATATACATAGAAGCTGTTCGAAATGACGGAAACGTTCCGGTCAAAACGATCGAAACGAGGAAAGATCGTCCATCGGTGAATTCCGCTCGAAGGAAAACTAGTTCTCCGTCTTCGACAGTGGGCGGATTTTTTGCGGCAAATAATTACATCGTCCGATTCACCACGGAGAACAATCGTCCCCCCTCCACCCCGCCGAATTCTTCGAAGAACCTGTTCCCGAAACGGAAAAAAGCGGTATATCGCTGTTATTATTGCCGGCGTGTAACAAGCGGTAATCACACGCGATTACATGGTTAACGGCGTAATCTCGCTTTGAACGATGAAGCCGGACGGACGGTAAACGCGCGCGAGAAATTAATTCATTCCGCTCGCTATGTATAAACGGATATTTGCTCAGCGTTAAAATAATGGATCCTTATATCGCCGATATGTATGTAACGAGGGACTCTTGTCGAAAACGCTCGCCATTATCGCGTTACATACATCGCCCGTCGTTAATCGTCCCGTTATCCTCGAATCAGCGCGCTCGCGAATCGGTGTGCGCGTGTGTGTCGCGCGGAATTCCGCGATTCTATTTCACCCGAGAACTGGTCAGATCGTACAAATATTCCGCGCCCGCCGGACGCACGCGTTGCAAAGCGCGCGGGGCGCGCCGCGAGCACGTTTTCGCGTATCACGCCACACGGGGAATCGGATTTCGCACACGCCGAGCAACTCTTGCGGCGATAGATCGCCGCGTTCGCCGTCGGTCGTTCGCTCGAAAATGCATTGAATTAAACGGCGATTATCAACGAGCGATTATTCCGGCGAATTTTAAATTCCCCTGCGCGACTTCCGATTAATATCTCCCTCTCCCTGCGAGTTTCTTTTTTCTCAATCGGTGTATTATCACTGAGAAATAGTCAATAGTCATTGGAAGGGGCAGGGAAGGGGGAAAAGATCATATTTATAAGTATAAAACTGTCAATTAGTAAAATTTCGTTAAAAAGTCTGTCGCAATAGCGGCGACTGTTCTGCAGGAGAATCTCACCGTAGAAACAGTGAACAAAGATATGTTATTTGTTATTTATTCTTTGTTATTTGATTTATTCTTAAGGAAATTGTGAGGTGTAACAAGTTTGATAAAGATTATCATGAAATTGCTCAATTCTACGATCCCCAAAAAATTGGGTCAGTGGACCGGCGGATGACGGTGAAACAAAGCTCGTGGATGCGACCGTTCGACGGCGAAACTCGCGATCGTAGCGGGAATGAAATTAAAGAGGAGCTCTCCACGAGCACTAACGACAATGGCTACGCGGCGAAGTTGCTCAACAGCGAAAAGAAGATACTAACGTGGGGACAGAGAGACGGAGCAAAAAGAGTGGTAGGGTAAGGCGGGAGGGTGGGAGAAGGAGGGGGAAAGACGGGGACTTTTGCTTATATGGTCACTGATTACAGAGGGACCAAGGGCCGCAGGGCCTTGGGACCGCTATTCTTAGAAGAGACGCGTCGCTCGTTCTCTCTTCCTCGCCGTCAGCCTTCTCCTCGACTCCTTCGCGTACCCTGCAGCGAGCTCCTAATTACCTTTGCTTGCATATCTCCCCTCTTTCTCCCGCTCTTGCTCGTTCTTCCCGTTCCTCTTCTCCTTCGTCTCTTTTTCTCGCTCTCTCTCTCTCTCTCTCTCGTCTCGCATGCATTATGCATTTGAAGATCGCGTGATAGCCGTGGATTATGCGGTCGCACCGGGCCTCCTTTTCCGCGAAAGAAATCGCGAATTGGGTTCGTCGGGCCGCGAACCGTGACTCCGGGACGGGCGAGGAGGCGTGGTTACATAAAAAATCGAAGTGCGATCGCGATAAAGGATTACGTTCATATCTGAGCGGCCTCGAGGGGGGACACACGGTTCAACTGAACCGGGTAGATACAATAGAGGACCCCGTCGAAAATAGAGCTGACCGAGTGAAAAATGCAGATAATTCAAATATCGCGTTATTAGACGAATGTACCCGTTCGTGAGCAGCTCATGCGGAAATACGAAAGCAGGGATAAATGAATTTCGCTTATCACCGACTTCTCATCTTCGTGCAGACGGAAACTGCATTTCGCGTATAATACATCGCGCTGACACGTTTGACTTCCCCTCTCTCACTCGTGTTTGTTCTTTCTCTCTCTCTCTCTCTCTCTCGGTCTCGCTTCGTCCCTCCACGGTCCCACTTTGTTCCCGGTAGAATTGCCGTCACATATTTTCGCGGTGTATTTGCGTTTCTCCGTTATCGCACGATAACGCGTACCACTATTCGTTCCCCTTTTTCGCCGTACCTGACGAACTTGACGGCCGCGAAGTTCCGCGGCAGCGCCGGGAAATCTCGGCGCGGCCGGCAAATTGAATTTGCCGTGCCGTGCCGGCGGTGAAATGGAATTCAATTATTAGTAATACGGGGGAGTCATGGGACACACGATCGGAGAGAGGAGGTCGCGCCGGGCTGGCGAGAAAGAAGGACGCGGAAACGGTGCGCGCTGGAGACACCGACCGACCGGGAATTCGGCGTGCAAAATTGATCAGACTTAATTACGAGTCTCTGTTTAATTGCACGCCCGATGTTTGCCCGATAAACAAGCCCGCTCCAGATAGAGGGAAGAGTCAAACGACGCGCTCCTCAATAGAATCATTAATCCCCGTGGGTATTTCACAGCGAATTCACAGTGTTGCGTTGTGCGCGCGCACGCGTTTGCGCGGTATCGATTCTCGCTCGACGAAAAGGGAACGTTAACAAAAAAGGGACGAGGAGAGGTTAACAAAAGTGTTTACAGGATGAAAGTTTTAGTGAGGTAGTCATTGGAACCCGCTTGAAAAGCGGAGAAAAATCGCGCGTTCTCGCGACTTAAACTCGCGGATCCGAAGTTTTGAGAACGAGTTATAAGAATCCTCGATCAAAATTCCAATAAAAATTTCTGGTCAATTTTAATCGAAATTCCTGAGAAGAATCTCCGAAACGCGAGAAAGATTCTGTACATTAAGAGAGATTATCGTTATTTTCCGCCTCATTATATCCTTTTTATGGTTTTAACCACAAAAGTAGTATCAACATACACGTAAGATTATCACTGACTCTAATTCTTCCGACTAGAATTCTTTCATTATAATGATTATAATATAAATACTGAATATTTTTTTTTTAATGTGTAATATTTATTTCGTCAATTTCTCATTGCGTGTACAGATCGTTCGTGAACTTGAAACGAATCACACGCGCCGGGAAAACTCGGTCTTTGCGGACCGCGGAAATCGTGCCAATTACATCGATTACTTTTGGATAGGTCGTTTCGTTACCCCGTCACGAACACCATAAATTTTCCCTCGTCCGCGGACGGTCGACACCGTAGCCCATTAATATCCCGTTGTTTTCGCTCGGTGATACTAAAATTAGTCTCCGCGGGGACGGAGGATCTCGGTCTCGCCCGAGGGCTCGATTCAATAATCCGTCGGCAATTTATATCAAATTAGCAGTAAGAGAGAGCGCGCGCGCGTAGAACCGACGGTGGTGACGGTGATGGTAATGGCGGTGGTGGAAGAGACCAAGAGAGCCGTGGTAAACTCGGTCTCTTCATTACGGCGCGCTTTAAGTACCATGGTCTAAAAACAGGGCCCCCTCTTCGTCCGCACGCCCTGGACGCGCGCAACAATGCGCGCGGTATTATTATAATAAATGGTTACGCGTTGTGCTTGTCTGTTGCAGAAAAATTGCTGAACAGCGAAGGCCGTGAGCTGCGACGGGCTCTCTTCTCTCTCAAGCAGATCTTTCAGGTGGGTTCACAATTCGCGATACGATAGCGAGCTCGCGGGTGGGGCCGAGAAAGAATGGACGCGCGCGGTGTGGTGGGGTTCGTTGAGCGGGGCGCGCAACCAAGTCGGGAGGATATTTTTGCGCGAAACTACTCGCTCGACGAGTAAATATTTGCATGGCGGGTACCGGCGAGTGCATTTTCTGCCCCTCTCTGCGCCCGCGAAGACGCGTAATTCCCTCCCTTCCTCCCCCCCCTCCCCGTTGGATTTTTTCTTTCGAGAAACCTGACCCGGGCGGGAGCCAAACTTTTAATTAAATACGTTGCGGTTCCGACTCATTACCCGCGTCTATAAGTTCTGCACATACAGGGTGTTTCAGACCAACGGAGATAAACTTCGTGATGGAGCAATACGGATGGAGGTGAACCGTAAATAGCAAAATTTCGAGTTATTAATTATCGAAAACGGTCATGTGCAGAGGCTTCTTTAATTGATAACTCCAAAATGTGGATTTTGAATAATTTTCAATAATTAATAACTCGAAAGCCTGTTGTTTGCAAAACGGTAAAGGACTTTTTTCTTTATTTCAATATGCTCTACGCCCTCTCGAAATCTGTCTCTGTTTGGAATATCCTGTATAACGCAAGCGCGCTGCGTCGAGTTCGCAGTGTTCATCGTGTTGGTCGCGACCGTCTCTGACTTTTTCTCGCGGCGCTCGCGCACTCATTCGGGATTGTCTTCGCGTGATTCGCGTTACTTTCTAAACCGCGCGAGGCGGCGGTGTTGCCCCGCGCAAGTGTTTATCGGGGAACGTGGAACGAAAAGATCGTGTCGTGTCAATCCAGGATCTCTCAAAGATCCTTTTACTCGGCAACCTTCGTCATTTGATCGGTCTCTGACGTGACTCGGCTGCGAAAATAACTCCGTTATTAAATTCGCGCCGGCCGCGAGTACGAATTTACCGTCGGTGGCCGGCGCTTCTCATTATCGGATAACGATTTTACTTTTGGCCAACTTTCTTCTCCTTCAACCCCGACGCGCGTATGTCCCGCTTTCACCGCGGGAAACGGTTTTCTTCCGTAAACGGTATTATCTCCTTCTCGGCCGGGAAAAATTGCGGTTTTCCGATAATGACGACTAACGACGCGTCCTCGTCGGCAGTTCGGGCCGCACCACCTGTCATTTTCCTCACTGGGGGTACGCGCAACTATCCATTTAGCAGCGTATTCCGACTCATCTTGTGTGTTTCACTTCGCTCGTTCGACTCGCTCACGAGCGATAATAAGTGACTTGTCCACCGTGTTCGCCCATTGTTTTTCCTTTTCATCGAGATCAGGAAAAAAATTAGTTTCAAATTAAGAATAAATATTCTTATATGTAAACAAGAATATTATGCAATCCTTTTAGAAGATTTTTAATCCTAACCCTGCTTCTATTCGGGTCTATTTGGCCCGAAATCATTTTTACTTATATTTTTCGGTGGTTTTACGTGATTTCAACGAACGTTCTGGCATTTCATGGCTTTGTTTCGCCATAACTCCAAAAAATTAATGTGAAACTAAGCTATGAAACAAAGCCATGAAATGCCAGAACGCTCACTCACCATATAAAAATAGAAATGATTTCGGGTCGAATAGACCCGAACAGCACAGTTAATTTGATTGAATTTATACTGATGCAATTATCACTTACACTCAATTCAAGACTAAAAGTCTTCTAAGAATATTATAATATTTTTGCTTATGTATGAGAATATCTATCATCGAATTATATTAGGTTGGTGCATATGAAATGTCGGATTCTTAAGTGATTGTATAAAACTGTATATCTTTCTTCAAAAGCTGTTTATTCAATCAAAGTATGCTCCATTCGCTTCAATACACTTCTCCCAACGAGATTTTAAAGCGTAGATGCCTGTCTTAAAAAAATTTTGGTCTTTAGAATTAATAAACTCTGATATCGAGTTTTTTAGACTGTCTTCATTTTCATGGTGTTTGCCTCTTAAAAACAGCTCTAAATGCTTGAAAAAATGAAAATCGGTCGGCGAGAGATCCGGTGAATATGGTGGATGCTGCAAAACTTCATATTCCAGTTCGTTCAGTTTCGCAATTGTTTTGTGCGATGTGTGCGGCCGAGCGTTGTCATGGAGCAGTAGCGGGCCATGCCGATTCACAAGCGATGGGAGTACAATTTGGTGTCTCAATATCGTTGTATGGTCAACTTTCATCCTGATAGCAAGTTCCCTCGTGGATACGGCTGGATCCGCTTCCACTAGAGCCTTCAGGTCATCATTATTCACAGACGTTTTGGGTCTTCCGCGCGGCTCATTTTGCAGTGAAAAATCGCCAGTCCGAAATTTTTCGAACCAACGCTGCACTTTCCGATTGTTAACCGTATTCTCCCCAAACGCTTGGTTTATGTTGCGTGCAGCTTTTGCAGCACTATTACCAAGTTTGTACTCATATAAGAAAATGACGCGAATGTCGGCAGAATTCATATCGGTAATAAACTCAAAAGAAATAAAAAAGGGAAGACCTTCGAGAAAACCTATTTTGTTGAAATGAGTCTCTGGCAATGGACAATACGAGTATGAATGAGGTTATGCCAAATACAAAAGTATAACGAAAACAGGGAGGAAAACGTCCGCATGTAAAGAGAATGCGACATTTCATACGCACCAACCTAATAATACTATTTTTCTCTTTGTGTAGTTTCACGAAAGAAGATGGAAATGATCGGAAGCGTCGAGTTAATTAAATCGGCGTTTAACGAACCCATTCCTCTCCCTGATTATCAGCGTTGCACGTTTCAGCGCCTTCACCACGTTCGACACGTTTCTCTCTCTCTCTCTCTCTCGCATCCTTGTCGCATATCCGCACTACGCTCTCCCTCGCCACCCTCAATCCTTAAGGAACTAATCGAGTTTACCGAATCAGACGTACGTTCGCACGTCCGCGGTGCGTCCGGTTTCGTGTCGCGCAAACGTGTCCCCATAATTACTTTCACGAGGTTCCGCGTAGGTCCCGCGGACGTGTCCTCCCTTCGTCGTGTTCTTTGTCCCGCTGCCTGCGCATCGCCGACCAGTGTAGAGATTTTACCCTGTCGGCACCGAGGAGGAGGTGTGCCGGCGTCGGTACGAGTCCAATTTCGCTTCTTAATCCGCCCGGCTAATCGAGTCTGCGTCGCACCTAAGTCCCGTGTAAACTTCCGTCGCTTCGGGACTAGACAGGACGAGACGCGAAGGAGTGTGAGAGAGATGGAGAGCGAAAGAAAGAGAGAGAGAGGGACGGAGGGGAATATCCTGGGAGAATCCCGAAGTGAAGCGCGCGCGAACCGGAGAAGTCCGACGAGATCTCGCGAGCGAGCGAGCCACGGCGCCGGCGTCGCGGCGCCCTGGAAACGTGGGGGTTTAATCAAACTTCGTAGATTTTCCATTATGCCCGCGACTTCGCGCCCGGAGCGGCATAACTAATTCCATTTAACCCCGACTCTCGCGCGGTAGGGGAGTCGAGCTTAGGTGGTAATGTAAAGGTAAATCACGCTTCGTCGTGACGTCGCCGTCAGGATCGGATATCAGCAGGCGCGTTCGTTCTTCCGCATGTTCTCGTCGCTCATTTCTGCCGGCTCGAGAGCGTCTGGAAAAGTCAGGAAATGCGTTTGAAGGCGTCCCAATTGAAAGTTTCGCAATTGAAACTGTCTGAGGCACGATAGATGTTGATTTCCGAAGTATGAGCGAACGTAATGGAAAGTAGCTGCGAAGCTGCTGTCTATTTTCGTTTGAGAAATAAGGATTCCGATTTTGTAGTCATAACGGTTGATTATTTCTTAATAACACACGTGAGGCAAACGTTCGGGGAGCACGGTAATTCTCCAAGTCGCGTGCTAAAAGCCCGCCGCTCTGATAGAATTAAGAAGCGCGTCTGGCGATAGCGAACGCATCATCCGGCTCTTCGCGGAGCGTGAGAAGCACTTTCGCAAAATGTACCTCTGTTTAGCACGTCGGCGCGGATTAACTTTGTCGCCGCGTTGCGTTATAATCAGGTCGGCTTATCGCGAATACCAATTTTCCAGGAGGACAAGGACCTGGTGCACGAGTTCGTGCAAAATGACGGGCTCGCCTGTCTCATCAAAGTCAGCAGCGAGGCCGACCAGAACTACCAAAATTACATATTACGAGGTGAGTACTCTATTCGCTCGTCGTCGTAAAATCGAAGGGTAAAGTGCACCCCCCCCCCCCCCNAAAGTGCCCCCCCCCCCCCCTCCCCCTCTTCCTTCCCTAATGCCACCGCTCGATAGAGAGAGCGTCTGCATCCTTTCCTTGCGCACAAACTATTTCCCTCATACTATTACCGGCGAAACCATCACTTACCTAAAATCGAACTCGAATCTCTCTCTCTCTCTCTCGTGCGCGAGAGCGTAAGACCGGCGAACGATCTCGCCGATAATATCTCCGCGAAAATCGGGAAAATCTTCCGAGGGTCGGGCGTGAGAATCAGATCGGTCCACCGAAAGACTTCTCGTGGATTAAGATAGTTGGTCCGTAGAGTGCCGGATATTTTCAGTAGCGATATTAAAGGGTTCCTACAAGTTTCTTACTTACTAACGAAACAGATTTTCCCGTAACTTTATTCCACTATCTAAGTAATAAATGTTAATTGTGAGCGAAGCTAAGACAAATATACGCATGATATTACGAACAGGATGTTTATTTATTCATTTGTTTTGAATTTTCTTATTAAGGTAGTTCTCACTGTATCTCAGAGTACCGTATTTTCACCGGCATACCAAAGAGGCTATTCATAAATTTAGTGTCTATCAAGCTAAATTACATATTCTATACGTTTATTTCACTACCGAAGTAGTAAAACGTTAATTTGAAACGAAGTTGAGGTAGGCAAACATACACGATAGAGAAATACCATTATTTTTTTATTTTCCATCAACGCTGTTTCTATGCACTGGTTGGTCTAATATAGACGCACATAATGAAATGATATGCAGATGATAAAAAGAGATGTATAAGTATTTAAATGCGTACATATGTATTTCAAGTGTTGCTACAAGTATGAACATTTGCACATCGATCAACAGGCGCATTCCATGCGCGCGCGCGCGAGTTGCTGATTAATTTTCATGTCTCGAGAATGACCGTCGCGGCGGCTCATCGCGATGGGACTCGCGACAGATGATTATTCTATAACTTCCGCGATAGCACGGCGACAGACGGCGCGTCCAATTAGAGAGCGGGAAAGTCGTATCGTAAACGGTCCCGCAAATTGAGGTAAGGGAACGACGCGACCTTGCCGCGTGCACATGCACGCCGGGATTTCGCGGTGGTGGGACGCGCCGGGACGACGATGTCACGCGCTCTCCCTCTCTCTCTCTCTCATTCGCCGCAATCTCGCGCAGGTAACGATAAGATAATACCGGGCGTAATGCAGCCGACGTTTAACGAGCGAGGGGCATCAACCACCGCTCCTCGTCGTTCCGAGAAGGACGCGCATGACGACAACGACGAGGACGACGATGTTATCATCGGAGAGAGAGAGAGAGAGGAAGAGAGGGAGAAAGAGAGTGAGAGAGCCGGAGGTGACGCCAAGTGTTAAGTGTTTGCGAAACCGTCGACACGCGGAGGCCCACGGTGGCGTGCGACTACCACTCATCAAACCGCGATGCGTCGCGAATTATGAATAGCGCCCTTTGATCGCGAGCGCGTCTTACAAGTGCAACGTCGCGGCTCGAGATGCGCTCTAGCAACGTTCCGTAAACCATCACCGTGTCGGCTTGAGCGCGATAATGCCACCTCGTGATCCTGTAACGCGTCCCCGTTATGCCCGCGAGTTTCAACCAGTGAGAAACCGAGCCGAGAAACGGAGCAACGGAGAATTAGAAATGAGCGATTCCAAAACATTCTCGTGTTTGCCGATAATCGACCGCTTCCTCGTCGTGCATTCAGCTTGGCATAATTTTATAAATAACGGAATAATCAATATTTCCGAACTTTAAGCGTAGAATTGATTGAGCAACACTTGAACGAATGTAATCGTTAAGCTTTCGATTTAAAATATTGATTATTAAAAAATTAGTGTGCAAAATGCGAGAGGGCCATAATATTATCTTCTCCTCTACGTATCCGGCCAGTCGCGAGTAGGTCTCATTGGCCAATTTATCCTTTCCTGTTTAAATAATTGCGTTATCGTATTTGCGGTTTTTCTATCGGAGAAGTCGTTAAAACTAATCTATTTGCGGATGGCGCAGGCTTCTCTCTCATTGCGGACAATCGCGATTGGATTCTTCGTGCGGTTTGCGCGACCCGCACGCAAACAGCACCGGCACGTGAAACGCGTGTGCGCCACGTTTTGCGATCCATTCGGAGATTATGTCCCACTGTAACACGGTAATATAATGGCGCAGCGCACGTTCGATACTCAATGATTACGCGTGATGCGATCTATATCCAGGCCTCCTAATTAGATTCCGCGTCATAACTTATGGCCCGTGTAATGATAACGGCTGGATTAACGTTCGTCGGTGGAACGTGCTTAAATCGCTTTACGATCATTGTCATTGCCGGCACGAATGCGTCGCTGATACGGCGCGCCGGATTGCGTGAACATCGGAATTTTGATGATATTATAACGGTAAACCGGAGCATATACATATATGTATATATATATATTTATATACACACACACATATGTATATATGTATAGTTGCGTTTTCGTCGAGATTAAAGCGCCGTTCGTTCGATCGCACAATGCCGCTACAAGTTTTTGCGCAGGTTAAGCAACCGGATTTAACGCTCGAGCACCGACAGCCCAAATAATAACAACAATAATAATTACAAGCGATAACAGGAACAATAAAAGTCAGGGATTTTCAATCGACGTCGAGATTTGCGCAACTTCAATTCGACGGAGAACAAACGTTGTTGACTCTCGGATAACAAGATTGAGTCGGACGCGACTGGATCCATGTTCCAATGCTTCCGCGCACGCGCGTTGTGAAGCGTTATATTCCCGAGATTTGCATATTTTATATATATATTTTATTTACTTTTAAATATTTCCGAACTTTTCGTCAGAATAAAATGCGCCTGGTCGAAAAAATTCGTCGGGAAAAAACTATAAAACGCTTTTACACTGTTACCATATATCGCGAACGTTGGAAGTACACGTTGAAATCAAAGGCCCTGCGGAATTACAAGGGACATTTCGAAATGTGTACCTCGAATTTGGAGGTACTTCGCGATAATACCTTCCAATTCGAACATACATCCCTCGTAATTACGTAGGATTTTATTTCAACGTGTATCTCCAACTTTGGCGGTGGACAGTTAATATAAAAGTAACATGGTTTGTGTAGAAGCATTCGCGGTCTCTTCAATTAATATTTTCGACCAGGCATTTTCCATTCTCACGAAAAGTCCGAAGATATTTCGATGGTAAATAAAATAAACTAAAAGTATGTGTGTTAAAGGTAAATAAAATTAACATAACATTGATTTAACAGTGTACGGGTCGAATCCGACCCGTATGAACCTTGTCATTCGACGATTAAAGTTACGCGCGCTGCTCGCGAAGCAGATCGATATCGACGGAATCGCGCGAATACGGGACAGTCGGCCTACGCCTCCGTCATAGATTTAATTCGGCAAACACTCGCGTAATTGGCTCGCTTCATTTGCGATTTCGTTAGCGCGACGTGCTCAATTGACTCACGCATTGCGTGAGTGACGCTGCGAATCTCGCTCGCTCGCGCGCGCTCATCGTTTCCGAGCTTTTTTCGTCTCGATAATTACTCGATAAAAAGAACGCGAATTCCGCTTGTTGCTCTCGGTTTTCCTTTCTTCTTTTCCATCGTTCCTAATTGATTTCGGTCGGGAAGACTCTTATTCGCGAGTTCCCGCGGACCGTTTTCTCCCGTGTTTTTCGCGCGTTTTACACGCCGAGCGCGCCGTAATTTATTTAGGGCACGACGAGAGAGCCGAGCTCTCTCACCGGGACATACGAGCTTTAAGCGGCAACGTGCGAGCGCGGGCATGTTTTTCGGCGTAATTCTATGGCGGGATAAAACCCTAGTGAACCTACGACCGCGATCGGCGGAATTTGTACGTTAAATTTCAGTTCGGCCCACCGCGCTGATGCGCGTCCGCGGTTCGCGAACGTGCGAGAAATCAGTTTGGTAAACAACCAAGCGGCACGGGGCTAGAACAAAAAGAGAACACAAAGAGAGAAAAAGAGAGGGAGAGGGGGGGGGAGAAAGATAAAAAATAGGCAACGTCGCGTTCCGGATCGGGCCAGAGATTGATGGGCGTCCGCGTCGTTCGGATATACGTTGCAACGCGAAGGTGATGACGCGATTTTTCGTTGCGCATCTATATATCGGTAGTATCGTTGCCATCATTTTTGTTTGTATTCGAGTCACGAGGGGGAAAAAAATAATAATAACGTGGCGCTGCAGCGCGAGGATTAAAGAGCGAGATAAATAAACGGCTGTCGCGCGGGTCGGCGGTGAGGCCCGAAGAGTCCCCGGAAGCGACATCGATCAGCGCGGGAAGTATAAAAATATGCGATATTCTCGCGAAGAGAAAGAGAGAGAGAGAGAGAGAGAGAGAGCTCACGTCTCGTCAAGTACGCGGAAACAAGCGGTTTGAATGTAGATTACAGTTTCCAATGCTATTTTTCACTCGCAAACCTCCACTCCCCTAACGTCTCGAAAAGAATTCAGCGGTTATTTAAATGTTCCGCGCCGTGCATGGTTTTTTTGCATATATATTTCGAGCGCGTTTTGAGCGTTCGTGTTGCTCGGCCGGCGACGGAAATAATCCGTGGGCGAGAGAGGAAGGGAGGTGAGAGAAAGGGAGAGGGTGCATTTACGAACAACGGGCAAAGGCTTGTCTCTCTTTTGCGCGCGCGATTGTCCGGAACTATTTCGCCCGCCGCGTTTAATCTCGCGACTCGTTTGCATTCATGCAGCACTCGGCCAGGTGATGCTGTACGTTGACGGCATGAACGGTGTGATGGAACACGGGCAGACGGTGGAATGGCTGTATACGTTAATTGCCAGCCGTTTTCGGCTGGTGGTGAAGACGGCGCTGAAGCTGCTGCTCGTGTTCGTGGAATACGTGGAAACAAACAGTCTGCTGCTGGTCCGTGCCGTGAGAGCGGTGGATACCGCCCGCGGCATGATACCGTGGATTAACGTGATGAAGCTCCTGAAGGATTACGACGCCGCTGACACCGAGTTGCTCATCTACGCGACCACGTTGGTTAACAAGTGCCTGAACGGCATCCCCGATCAGGACACCTACTACGATCAGGTGGACTGCCTCGAGGAGCAGGGCATGGAGGGCGTTATCCAGAGGTACATGTCGAAGCAGGGCACGGATCTCGACCTGCTCAGGCAGTTTCAGATCTACGAGGCGGTGCTGCATCACGAAGACGGCGACAGGGGCTCGCCTATCCGCCAACTGGACGACAATATCAGGTGAGAACGCCGTCAGCGGGAGAACACTCGCTTTTGTAATGTACACTGAGGGAGAAAATATCGGTCAATGTCGCGAAAATTACAGCTTATTTCGGCGCCCTCTTCCCGTTGGTCCGACAACAAGTGAGAGGAAATATTTGTCTACTTATTTATTTATTTATCTATTTACGGGAAATGTCCCTTTGGTACGATGCTTTTAAGATACGGGGAGAGGGAAAGATAATATATGTAAAAGAAAGTGTATAGAACGTAGGGAAAATAGTATAAAATACAAAAATAAAAGAAAATAGAAAATAATATGTATAATAATGCTGTAATAATATGTAAATAATGTTTTTTTCTCAGTGTAATAGCAATATGCGTGTAATATTATTATCATTGACATTATAGTAACACCATAGTAATATTTGCTATGAAAATGGTTCTGCCGGTTGTAAAATTCTCATTATGCAATTATAATCAGAAGTACCAAGTATTTTTCTCTCAGTGTAGATATTAAAAGCCGTCCGTTGTTCTCTGTTTCGGGAATCGCGCGTTTTTGGAAAATTCATCGAGAATCGTCTCTGGTCCGAGAGAGAAATTGCGCGTCGACGGGTCGGTTGATAAAAGAATGTCGTGTATTCTCCGAGGAATGAATAGAATCGGGAACGAACGGAGGGGGACGTTCGGTGTACATATTTGAGGAGGGGAGATTCCGATTCGACGAAAACGATATTTCCCGTTGACTTCACAGGAAGACCTTGCGGAACCGGAAGTCCCTGGTGGATTCCCACGAGCGACGAAAGTCTCGGAGGCACTCGACGGGCACCTCGCCCCTTTCGATGTCTCTAAGTGCGCGGCTGAGTCCACGGTTGAATCATACTCTGGGCGTGAGCTCGCTCAACAGCACCTTGAACTCGAGTCTGCCAGACGACGACGACGAATCGAGTAGCTCTCAGAGTTCCCAGGGTCATCTGGGTGAGGTGCAGCTTAATGGCAGTTACAAGGAGAATAAAGGTAATTATCTCCTTCCCGCTTGGTCCTCGCCTGACGAATTTGTATCGCAAATCGCGAGAAGCGTGACGCGATATCTCGACACCTGCTCTTAACGTTTTAACGACGCCTCTTATGCCACTTCTCCTTCTTCCTTTCTTTCTCTTCTTCTTTTTTTTTATTCACGCTTCACGAGGGTGAATCGCGTGTCGCGTTCTCTCCAGCTCGTTATTCGTCCGATGCATTTTTCGCAACGTTTCTTTTCGATCGATCCGCCGAATGAATCCGCGACGATACCCGCGCCGCTCGGAGTCGCTTGCATAAGTCGAATTCATTGGGAGATCAATTTTCGGGATTCTTCGGGCAACCTCGACTAGCGTGCGTCGTAAATTGATTCGTTAGCGATTCTACTGCATGATGAATACGAACTTGGACGCCCACGGAGCACGATTCCCCCGCATCGGGCCGAATCGCCCACCGAGACCTCGCGGTTTTCAGTTCCCTGGCGCGTTTCATTGCCGACGCGGCACGCGGTCAGCATAAATGTTCCATTAGATCTCCGAGGGTGTCGCGTGTACGAGGGTGGCCCGACCTGGCGCATCGTGGAATAACTCGCGATTTATTTTCCCCTCGCGAGGAATGCACATCGCCACGGCGTGATGTTTTTCACGACGGAAAGTCGATCGTGACACGTACGTCTGTCCCACCGCGATGGGAGATCACGCCCGCAAGTTTCGGCCGGCGGCCGCCGGCGGGAGGAAAGTTTCGCTCGCGTCGTGTATCTCGACAAGTTGCGCTCGAATAGTTCGCAGCAGTCGACACGGTCAATTTACATCTGAAACGGCGCGTTGAGTCGCACGCTCGAGATTCGTTTGAACGGAGGCTGCACTGCGTGTTCCAGTGGACGTTGGCGTGACACCGGCGCTGAGACGGCGACGAGAGCGCGCGGAGAGACAGAGGAGCTTCATTAGAGAGCAACAAGAGGCTACCGCAAATATGAGGGCTTCGATCGGTCACACCGACGATCAGGAAAGTGAGTACCCGCAGACCGCTTAATCGCCGCTACGTTTTATCGAAGCTCCCCGGTTATCCGTCTCCGGTAACGCGGAGATATTCTCCGCGGCCGTTTAATTCCGTGATCCACTGATTTATTTGCGAGACGCGCCGTAAAACGCGAAGCCGAGTTCGCGGTGGGCGCGCATTGCGTCGCGCGTTCTCGACCTCCGGGTAAAACGTTCCCTCCCGAGAGAGCGGATTTGTGTAATTTCCGGGTCGGAATGAAATCCGACGTGTCGCCGGACGGGAGCTTCCTCGCGCGCATCGGGAGATACGTCGTCGCGTTGCGCGCGATACGCGTGTCATTGAAGTAAGCGCTTTCTGTTTTCTCCGGCATTAAAGGTCAGTTTGCGTCGAACAGTCTGCGATACACGAACGGCACCTCTTACGAGAGGAACGCTGATTCTCCCTCAAACAAGTTGTCCAGAACGAACAGCAGGAAAGACTTGACGCCCTTGATGAATGCCGCGAACAAGCTCGACTCGGAGGAGATGAAGCCGTGGTACGGCAAAAGTCCCAACGAAGGTGTCGAGTACGGCGAGAGTAATCACACCGACGAAGACGAGGATCGTCGAGTGTTGCTGCAGCCTAAGAGGGAAGGCACCGTCAAGGATCTCACGCAGAAGTTGGCGGCGCAGAATCTTATACCGAGCAGCCCCGTGGAGGAGAAAGTTTCCAGGTAATTTCGGCAAAGGCGCAGCCCTCGTGCCGGCTGCTGCGAATCAATCGCGCTCGATTGATTCGCCTGCTCTCCGTTCGCGTGTAAACCGAGAGAAATGTACACGAGGAGCACGGGGAAGAGCAACATCGGCAAATTAACTCAATCTCGCGGCGAAATGTGAATAGGAAAAATCGTTAAATTGATTCGATCCTGCTGCTTAGTGGGGAAAATTGCTGAATTGTCCGGATCGTTCGATAATTTCGTTTCGGATTTCTCGAAGGCTTCAAGGTTGATATTTTTTTATAGCTTTTTTTATAGCGTTACTTTATTCAATAGATATTGATGATTTTCCTTGGTGGCAGGTTATCGAGAAGAAAAAAGTAATGAGACAAATAAAGTTCGTGCCTGACTATCGGCTGGGAGTTTTTCGAAGAACTCCGTATAAACTTATCGAACGACCCAATAATTTGATCTCGCAAGATAACGGGGAAGAATTGCGGAATCAAGAGGCGTCTAACGAAAGTACACAAGCTCGCGAGAATTTTTTTCCATAATTCCCCCGTATTTCGCTTAGTTCACATATTGCATTTAACATGTCCCAAATAGTCCACTCAAATTTGGGCGTTAATTTAACACAAAGTGAATGTGTTAAAAAGTAACGCAAATGTTATGTAAAAAATGAACATGACATTAATACGTTAATCGACGCTAAAGTATATGATTTTCACACCTATACACGTTTTGAATATCGACACAACATAAAATGTTGAGACAACATAAACACAATACGTTAAATTAACACACCTATAGGCATGTTAAGAATGTAACGCCGAAACAAGAGTCGATTTTAACACGAGTACCAAATGCTTTTTACCGTGGCATCGTGATCTTCCCCAAGCCAGCCGACAAGTTCCCTCCATTCCTCGCGACTCCGTGCTTCGTTAAAAAGTCGTAGAAAGGGGCCACCTTTGTGGTGGCCTCATTTCTTTAATCAGCGAAACCGACGACCGCACCGCAATCTTACGACCCGGCGTCTGTCGCACACAGGATAGGCGACATCAGCGGGCTGATCTCGAAGGCGAAGGAGGGCCTGGCGAAGTCCAAGTCGAAGGCGGACGTGTTGAAGTCGCCGACCGGCGACAACCTGCCGAAACTGCAGGAGACGAAGAAGTCCGAGAACGAGCTGCACTGGGAGGAGCTGGTAAAGAAGCTGAAGCGGCCGCTCGCGCTCTGCGACCTCGACTTCACCGACCTGAACTCCGAGGATGAGATCGACGTGCTGGGTTCGGCGAACGTCGCGAACGGCGTGCCGCCGCCGCCGCCGCCGATGGCGCCTTCGTGCGGGGACGCGAAGGCACCCCCGCCGCCGCCGTTGGGCGCGAGACTGCCGCCGCCGCTTCCTCAGGGCCCGCCGCTGCCGCAGCCGTTCGGCGTCAGCCTGAAGTCGTTGAGGCCGCCGTTGATCACCAACGAGATCGGCGGCAGCAGCAGCTGCGTGCCCAAGAGCCCGCCGTCGTTGATCGCCAAGAAAAGCAAGAAGACGGTGAAGCTGTTCTGGAAGGAGGTGCGGGACGACCCCAACATTCTCGCGCGGCTCGACAAACACAAGATGATCTGGGACGAGTTGACGCCCGTCGCGGTCGACACGCAGAAGCTCGAGCACCTCTTCGAGAGCCGCGCCAAGGACCTCATCACCAAGGTGAGCGTGAAATTTTCCTTTACCCTTCGAATTTCGTCACGACCGGAGCAATTCGGCGACCCGGTCGCGTCGGCTAACGTCGTTTCCATCTCACACGAGTGCGCTTCGCGAGGGGAAACTCGACCCGAACGACGTGATTGAGAACGATGCTCGTTTGAGATAGTTGATCCGTAAATTGATTTTCGTTGAAATCTTTCCAAATGTTAACAGGATATTAATTATAGTTTTTAGAGAACCGGATATTTTCGATTTTCACGTGAGTTTTTTCGCTTTCTTTCACGGAGAAGTTGAAAAAAAGTAACCAGTTTCCCCGAGCCTTTGAAACTATAATATTAATTGCAACACGATCTACACATATGCAAAATTAGAAAAAATTTGACCACGACGAAGCTGAGATTGAAATCAAAGTTAGCGCTATTTACATCTATCACAGGCACGAAAATGGCTTCCGATATCAAGATTTTAATTTGTAGGCATTTAAAAAAAAAGTAGAATAATTAAATAAGTAGAATGGTTAAAGTTCTGTAATCGATACGTCAAAATGCTGAAAATACAGAAAAATCCGACGTCACGATCGTTTCTCTAGTAGTGTGCACTTGTGTGCCTCTATCGAGAAGTGGAAGGGGTATGTGTAATAATATAACATATTCACAAACAAGGGGCAGTACCAGCCAAATTATACATTAAAAAGGCGAGAAACGATTATTTCTTCATGAGTTTTTAAACATCACGTAAGTTTGATTGATACTCTCTCGCTTCAGTGTCGAATCTGTACGTCATAAATCATGTTTATGGACATTTAATACAAATTTGTCGGGCTTTTTCGTATTGTATGAACCATTACCTTTCTAACAGCATTGTCACGGACCAACTACCTTAAACGAGGTCCGTCGCGCCCCCCGGCTGCTCCGTGCCGCTCGTGGAGGCGTATGCGCGCCGTTGTTCCGCGGCGTTTTTAACTTGGTGAAAACAGAGAGGCCTCATTTTGCCGCGTTATTTATTCATTTTTACGATCCTCCCTTTAAGCGAGCGCGAATGCTATCGCTGTTGATGCATCGTCGAGTCAGTCGGGGCGTTACTTGGGCCAATGCTCGTGACAAACGAGCCGCAGCATCGCGAGTCACTCTCCCCGACGGCGAAAGACGTCGCGATGACATTTCCTGATGGATTAAAACGCGAGTTATCGCCTCTACCAGCATGATTCGTTCACTCTGGTTAACCTCGCACTTTCTCGCGTTATTAGCCGTTTCGCGGCTCACAAAGGTAGTTGATCCGTAGACTGCCGGATTTTCAGTGACGATATTATAGTGCCTCTTCGTAAATTTACTATTTACTGAAAAGAGAGGATTTTCTATAACTTTATTTAACTACCCAAGTGGTAAATGTTAATTTTGAGCGCGCGAAATTAAGACAAATATATATATGATGTTACAAACGCGAAGATATTATTTTTTTATTATTTTCCTTCTTTTAATACTTTATTTATCCGCCAGTTAGGCTAACAGAAGTGTACATATAGTAGAAAGTGATATATAAACATTTAAATATGTATATATGTACATCTATCGTACGGGCATTACTATACCTAAAAAAAGATTTCTCCGGATTTAATAAAATTTCGGACTAAATGATATTGAAGCAAATTAAACAGATTTATCTTTTGGAAAACAAACGAATGTTGGATCCAACAAACAGGATTGCCTGGTTTCGCAAAAAAAAAACATATCTTTATTTCAAATAAAACATTCCCTTTGTATTTTCATTCAAACATCACTATAGTTGTCACGAGTATAAATTATTTGAAAGAGATAACAAGAAAAATATTAAAGAACTTTTTTTTTTCAGTAGGACAATATTTTATATATAATGAAATAAATGTTTTTGTATTGAAAACTAAGTATTATTATTATATTTACTCTCGTGAAACAGCATTTCATTTAAGCAAAATGATATTTGACATTAAATTATATTTGATCAGAAATGAAAAGTAGAGGTTAAAAATAAGACATTAATCTCAAGATATGTACATGTATCAGAAGTGTCATCTTCAACTGCGAATATCTCAGCTTCCGAATGGTCAATCGTTGCCTAATTTTACAGACGTATAAATAGTATTTCCACCAATATGCGGCTAAAATTTTAAAAGCATTTCTAAAAAAAAATGGATTCGCGGATCAAATATCTTAATTAATCTCTCTCTCTCTCTCTCTCCGTGAACGTTCGAGCACCGTCTCGCTCGAATCTCCTCGTAACGCCAACCGTATGCCAAAAGTTTACGCTACTCGCAAGTGCGTATCTCGCGAACTCTGCGCGATTGCGCGTCGGCAGCGCGGCAGTCTTGATGGAATTGTTTAAAGGGGATAACGCCTTGCCATTGCGTCTCTCCGGCGCATCATTTAATAATTAATATCGAAAATCAAGTTTATCGCTGCAATTGCAGTCGGTTCTTTGTTCGTCTCTAACGACGGCGTTGCACGGAAGAAACAATTTAGCTAATTTACCTGAAATGCCTTTTGGTGGGAAGAAACAGGATTTCCGGCTTTCAAAAGTGAAATTTCGTTCCTCCGACCGGAAATTCTGTTTCCTTCGATCAAAAACGTTTTCAGTCTGTCCGTTTCAGGATAAATTCAGCCAAACGGTTTTCTCTTTGTGTGGAATTGTCGACTGGTCTTCGCGGGATAGCGGCAGATTTTTCCGACGGAGGCCCGAAATTTTCATTAAATCCGTTTGCAAACGGGTTATCATTCGCGGGAATGAACGAGCGGTACGCGTCTGCGCATGTATGCGTGCGTGCTTCAGGGAGACGTACGTGTGCCGGAAGAATCAACGATCCGTCGCCGGGAAAATAATAGAAATTACGAACGCAACGATCTTGCCATCTCCTTTCTCTCTCTCTCTCTCTCGCGCGTGGTGGAGGAAAGTAGGAAAAATTCCTCGCCCCGACCGGCCGAGGCATTGTGGCGAAGCATAGCAAGCCAGCCGGCCTGCTGCGAAGCAACGCCGTCGTTAATTACCACAGTAATTACACGTCGCGGTTATATCGGTTTCCTCTCTCACCTGTGCATTTCGCGCGCGTGTGTGTGTGTACGCAACTAAATCGCGGCGAAAAGACTTTTCGCGCGGCGCACTGAAAGCTGCCGGCATTATTCCCTCCGTTCCGGCCGTTTCCGACGTCGCTCTTCCTCGCCCTTTGAACCCGGCGCCAGCGCGCCGATAATTACAGTCGACCTGGCCTCGTGAAAAAGAGAAGGGGAGAGGAAAAAGAGCGGAAAGGTGGCAACGATGGCGGGAAGGAAATCGCCGTCGACGACGAGGCGGACAGAAAAGGGTGGGAACGAACACGGTGTAAAACGGGTAACTCGCCTTCGACGCGAATAATGACGGCGTGTACAGGCCGTTTGTGCTCGTTCGGTAACGTCGTAAATCAGGGCCGCAAGCGCCGCGCGTTTCAGACTGACGGCCGGGAAAGAGTCGCACGGAAATCAAAGGGCGAAGCGAGCCATGGGGGTGACGATCGTCGCCGCTCGACAGAGGTTGATAAGGGTTATCGCGAGGTCAGTCAGAGTAAGAGGAAGGATCAAGATTCGCAGCAATTATGCGATCGGCACACTTAATTGTCACGTGTACCGTAGATTTCTCTTATTTACTTCTTCCCTTCGCCGTTAACTGATTATATTTTTACTTATATTTTTGTTCTTTTCCTTTTTCACTTATATTCTCTTTATTTTTATACTTTTGTTTTCACCTACTATATTTTTTTCTTCTACCGATTATTTTTTTTTTATACATCTGTGAACAAAAATATTCACGCGCCGCTTATTCTCTCTCTTTCTCTCTCTCTCTCTCTCTTTCTCCTCCCTTATTCTCGCAAAGAGAAGCGCGAATTAAGCGAATGAACTAAATAGATTCCGATTTGCATTAACTTTCACTTAGCTGCGCTGTACCTGGGCTCGCATATGTACGTAATTATCAAATAAGCGTTGCGCAGAAACATCGGCTAATTTAATAACACGGTTAACCGTAACTATATCGCGTAACGGTTATGATAACGGTCGCACATGAATAACGATTATGATGGTGGTCGGATATCGGTGGAATAACGGTGGAAGTGAGAATGATGGTGATGGTGATGATGGTGATGGTGGTGGTGATGATGATGATGATGATGATAGTTTATTGCAATACGACTAATCTTCTTCTTGTATTCTTGGCAATGTTGTTGGTGCTCGCACGAAAAAAAAAAATGAACGAAATGGCATGCTGGAATTTTACAGGAGGTGAGTCTGAATATCTTAACTTCCCCGCGCGCGCGGTTCTCTCGATCGTTGAATGTGATTAACGCGTGCATGCGTTTTTCGAGTGCATCCTCTTCGCGTGTGTACGTGTGTGTATTTTGCCATCTGGGGCGACGCGATTAGTGTGTCGTCGTGTAATGAGTGATGCTTCACTTCAAGGGCTGCGTCACGCACCCTCGTCGTCGCGTTTGTTGTCGTCATTGTTATTGTTACTATCGTTGTTTCGCGCGTATTCCTCGCCGTAATCAGCCGATCTACTTAGGAACCGATTAATTAACTCACCTTGCTGAGAGATATGTGCGCGCGCGCGTGTGTGTGTGTGTGTGTGTGTGTGTATATAAGATTGATACATTGAAAAATTAGTTTAGCTGGATCTACCTGACAATAGACAAACAAACGTGTTTTGATTGAAGAAAAGAATTTCTGATAATAAGAAGCAAATTTGGTATATAAGAACAACAAAAAAAAGTGCTAAAATTAAATAAATAATTACTCCTTAACAAATTTTTACTTTAAGTAAAAAAAGATTATATAAATTTTACTCGGATCAGGTAAACATATTTCACTTCAATAATTTACTTGGAAAATATTTTACTGGTATCAAGTAATATCTATTCGATCCAGATAAAAGTGTGCTAAGGAGTAATTATTTGTTTGAATCTATCATTTTTTTTCTATGTTCAGCAGAAATCTTGCTTCCCTCAACCAAAATGCGTTTGATTGACCATCGTCAGGTAAATCGAAACCAAGCTCATTCTCCGGTGTAATTATGATCTCCGCTTTCGTCTCGTAACCGCATCGGTCATTGGTGGGGCATGCAATGGCGGTGCTGTAGATGATTGTAATGATTTCCATTTCCTAGATTCTCTGTGATTAGTCCCTTTAGCGTTACAAATTCCACGCGAAAGTGTCTTCCCATGTGCCGAACGTAACAATTCTCGCTGTTTCCGTTTGAAATATTATCGATGTGCTTGATTACACTTCGTGATCGTATCGTTGAACGTAGAATGGTCTCTCGTTTGGATGGATCGTCTCACGTGTGCAGTCAGATGTGCTCGAATCGGCAAGCATTCAACATACCACGTCCGCGTGTATCTCCATTCCCAATCGGAAGAATGGCTACATTTATCCTCTTTTCGTGACGTCCTCGATACGTTCCACGTGTCGTTGTGTTCTCACGAGACCGTGCGATACATAGCGCTGTTACTCGCGCTGATACACGCTTACACGTAGGTGTGCTCCCGTAACGAGGTGTTTGTAGGGAGAGAATGCCGATGCACGGTATTGATACGTACTAATCGATCGCAATAACTCCAAGTGCTGCGGATTAATAACGAGAATGTCGAAATCGCGAGCGAGCGAGCGGACGAGCGGGTATTCTCGGTGCGACTGAAAAGCCCTCCTTTGTTCTCGGCCGAGCAGAAGCAGCAAGAGATGAACAAGAACAAGGAGATCATCGTGCTGAATCACAAGAGGTCGAACGCCATCAACATCGGCATGACGAAACTGCCGCCGCCGAGGTCCATCAAGACCGCGATCCTGAAGATGGACGCCACCATCATGAACCGGGAGGGTATCGAGGTGAGAATATCGCATTCTTCGCTCACTTAACGTGCCTTCACTTTTATCTGGATAATTCGCGTTCGCGAGTGTTACTAAAAAAGGAAATCGTAAAAGAGAGATGTCTCTTATGCATTTTCACGAGCGCTAGTCCCTCGTGAAAGTGCGTGCCAGTTCCGACCGTTTCGCGCGATATCTTTGTTTTTCAACGAGAATGAGAGAGAATTCACGCAGTAAAGTTACCGCAGTGTAAAATCCATTAGTCGTTACTTCCGAGTCCGCATTTCGATCGCGCGCTTCGCACGTCTCTGACGACTAATAAATTACTTATAACCGACTTTTTCACTTTTCGCCCGCATATTGAACGTTTACCCGACCGAATCATACACACATACACACGTACACACGTACACTCACACAATCACCGATCCCGCTTTAATTTACGACGGACAGGGGACCTTGAAGATTATCCAAAGTTTTGTTCACGGTCGACCTCGAGATTCAGTTGCAACGCACCTATATTCTAGTTTCCGAGTTTATTCTGATTTCTCTAATTTCCGATTTGGCTTCTCTTCTTCGTTTCTTCCCCTCCTTCGCCCCGTCGATCCTCCCGAAACAGAAACTCCTGACGATGCTGCCAACCAAGGAGGAGAAATCCAGGATACAAGAGGCGCAAGCCGCAAATCCCGACCTTCCTCTAGGATCGGCCGAACAGTTCCTCCTGACTTTGACCTCCATCTCGGAACTGCCGGCGAGGCTGAAGCTGTGGGCGTTCAAGCTGGACTTTGAAAACTCCGAAAAGGTAACGAAACCTCCCCTCCCCTCCCTCGATGTCGCGCGCGCATGTGATTTATCCCGAGGACGCGTTCTCATTTTTCTCTTCTCCTTCCTCGTCTCGATCCGAGCAGTTCAGCGAACGCGATTCCTCGGGAAACACACCCACGTTGTCGAAGCGATCGTCGCGGACACACACGACGGTGTGTGTCCACGGTTGAACGCCACTGTTACGTAATGGCGATCAAGTTGGCTTCTCTCCTCGTCGTTCCGCCGCGCCCTCTCTTCAGACTCCTCGAGCGGATTTCATCGGGAGTGTCGCGAAAACGATGAGGAGGAATGCCAGCAATGCAGGGAGGAAGTCGGAGGAGCGTTCCGGGCGCAATTTCTTCGCCGGCGACAAAATAGCAAATTCCGATATCGAGCGCGCCGGAGACTAAGAAAGGTCACTCGACGACGACGAGTCTTCTTCCTTCCTTGGCAACGCGCTCGACCGGCGGAAGTGCGATACCTCGCGTGAGATAATTCGCCCCGTGAGATTCGAAAATCTGCGAGCGGCCAACCCCCCCCCCCCTCCCCAACCGGCTGTATGGCGTACGTGAAATTGCAACTTCTCCGCTCGCGTATTCAATTCGAGAATTCCGTCCATCGAGTAGCTCGTTCGCGCGTCGCTTCCGTTTTCCCGCGCGAAGAAAAAGAACGACATCCTTCCTGCCGGATTCGGTTCCGGATTTTCGTTGCCGCTGAAGGACATTAATCCTATGATACCCCGTTATTATCTATACTTGGCTTATTAATCTTGAAAGACAGGAACTCTGATGGACCTTTCGTTTTCGCGTGAAATCCTGAGAGGTCCGGTTGATTGCTCAAAATTATTGGAGGTACTTGGTAGGAGGTATTCCCTGCTGGACCTCTTAAAAAAATATTCGCTTTTTCATGTAAAAGTTTTCACATAAATTTGTACCAAACGATCGATTATGCTTGCTTGCAAATCATTTTCGTAGCACAGTTGATTTTTATTTACACGTTACTGTCTTTATTTAAAACTACCATCATAAGACTTCTTTGAATTATCATTTTAAACGTTACCTGTATGATGTATTTATGTGTATATATATTTTTTGTTTTCTCTCTTAAATGAGATATGTATAATTTATATTATAAGATATATAATTAAAAAAAATGGTTTTAACATTTCCGCGGATTTTTTTATTTCTTTTATAGGCAAAATTTAATAGAGACCCAGTTTATGCAATTTTCAGCGTTCATTTCCGTTTCTTTCGCGGGAAAGTTAAAAAATCCAGTGTTTTCTGAGACTTTAACTTTAAAGTTTGATACACTAAAGATACAATCTCCTGTAAATAGATGAATAAATAAATAAATAAATAAATAATGATCCCGGTGAGCTGCGTCGCGACAACGCGCGTGTATGCCGCTATGGAAATCGATCTAGCGAAACGACGAACGCACGCGACGCGCCCGAAGAAGTAAACGCGGCCTCGGTCTTTGTGACTTTCAGGAAATCGCGGACCCTTTGATGGATCTGAAGCAGGGCATGGAGACGCTGCGAGTGAATAAAACGTTCCGCGGGATTCTGAGCACGCTCCTTTCGATCGGGATATTCCTCAACGGAAATGAGGTGGGTATTGAATGCCAGCCAAATGATATCCGCTTAATCCGTCTGTCCCGCAAACCAACCCCGCCGGCGGCCGGGGGCGGTCCGACGAGAGATACCCCGGCGATATCTATAATTTCGTTCTAACTGCCGGTCTAACTGTGAGATGCCGCTTGGCCGACTGCCACATTTTTCTGAAAACAATCTCGGTTTAATGCGGACCCTCGCCTGCAATCACCGCCCGCTCTTTATCCCCCGACGGCGTTGGAATTTTCGACGGGTCTTGACGGCACGGAGACTGTACACGGTGAAAGGTTTTAGTGTGAAATTTAACACATGTTCCACACGGTCTACGCGAAATTTCGTGTTGATTTAACGCAAGATGAATGTGTCGAAAAGTACACGTGAATATTATGCCAAAAATTAACGCAAAATTAATACGTTCATCGACACGTACGAAGTAAAATGTGTTGTTTTAACGCTTACACATGTCGAACATCAGCTCAACACAAAATATTGAGATAACGTAAACACAATATGTTCAGTTAACACACGAATATGTTACAAATTTAACAGATAAATTTTGGCAAAGACCGGTTTTACAACACAGATGCAAAATGTTTTTTTTTTTTTGTTTTTTACCGTGTATATTAAGAAGCTTTCGACGTGTTTTCCGCGACGGAAACTCCGAATTTCCATTGGATTTTTGTTCTCGAGCGAACGTATTCATATTATTCAACGCGCGATGTGTTATATTATACAGAAAAAAAAAATGAGACGCATGTCATACGAAAAAAATGTGACGGATTTCGATGTTATAACATTTTTTCCGGATGTACAGACGAAATTTTGTACGATAAATTATTTTTCTCGCTGCTTCCTGAGCGTCTTGTTTACACAACGCCGGGATATGCCGTGCAGGATACGTCGAATACCGTAACGGGCGTCGGCATCCGCGGAACTATTCGATATTGCCGAAATTATGACGCTATGAACGCGCGTTATGTGTTCGCGGAAGCGCATACCAATTTCGAAAATTCCGAAACTCGCCGAAGGAAAGATTTATTGTCTCGTAAATTCCCCCGTTGGTACGTTTGTTTGCTGTATTGTTTTTTGAAAGAGAGAGAGAGAGAGAGAGAGAGAGAGAGAGAGAGAGAGAGAGACGTAAAATTAGCAAATTTTATACACGCGAGATCTCCTTTTCTCTCCCTCCCGCGGGATCGTTTCCGATGCTCAGTTATACCGATCTGCACTCATTCCGTTCGTGCATCATTAATGAATTCAAAGTGCAGTAAATGCGACAAGCGTGAATGAAATACTCACCCTCGTGGCGGCGCTTTTATACGGCGTTTGTCCTGAGAGAGTAGCGCCTCGTGAAAATCATGAGATTTACGAGTGTCGTAACGAGACGCGCGATTTTTCCGGCGATGCGCCGCGTCACACGACGGCTTCCCACTTTTTTTTTCCAGGTGAAGGGCTTTCAGCTGGAATACCTCGTCAAAGTACCTGAAGTGAAGGATACGGTTCACAAGCACTCGCTGCTTCATCATCTCTGCCATATGGTGATGGAAAAGTTCCCGGATTCGACGGATCTCTACTCCGAGGTGAGTGCCAGCCGGCACCCCGTCGCCGAGGAAACTTTACACTTCGTCGCGACAGCGCGGTCGTCGTTTGTGCTCACCGCGACTTTTTTTTCCGAGAAACGTCATCGCCAACCTAATTCCGTCCGATCTCTCCGCTGTCTGTTCGCGGAGGATCGAGTTGAATCTTTTAAATCGTCCTCGAAATTCTCTCGCGATCTGCGCTGCGATTTCACGGCACCCGGTGCTCGATATTTTTTTCGGAACAGCTCCGTTATACCGCGAATGCGATCTCAAATGTGATCGTTTTATCTTTCTCTACCTTTTCCTTATCTCTTTACTCCTATGTACATTATATATATTTGTTTATTTCTTATTTTTCTCTTATTTTTTTTATTTCAACTCTTATATACATATATTTTCTTTTTGATTCGTTAAATGCTTTTAGGACGCTAGAGTGGAAATAAATGCTTTTACCTATCTATCTGTGTCTTTCCTTTTTTCTCTTTTTCTCTCTCTCTCTCTCTCTTCCTCTATTCCTATCGACTGTTTTTTATACGCGATTCTGCTTTCAGATCGGCGCAGTGACGAGAGCATCGAAAATCGACTTCGACGAGCTAGCGGCGAACATCGCGAAACTCGAGAGCGAGTGCAAAGCGTCTTGGGACCATCTCAAGCTCATTGCGAAGCACGATGGCTCGACGATGATGAAGGTCAAGTGAGTATAATTCCCATCGAGTCTCTCTCTTTCGCTCTTGCCCTCTCGCTCTCCGCCCGCGAACCAATTTCCGAGATTCTCTCTCGTCCTGCGAACGTCTTTCTTTGCCGCGAACAAGTCTGAGCGCTCACCGTTTAAGAAGTCCCGAGTGGCTTCGATAAATTTGGCAGAGAAAGAAAAAGAAAGAGAGAGAGAGAGAGAGAGAGAAATTTTTTTTCAAGCGAGACTGTCTGGCAGCCGTCCAAGTGGAGCTTCCATTAATTACCGAAAAGGCATTTCCTCCTCCCTCGAGCCTCTCCATTCATCCTTTCTGCCGACAATCATCCCCATTGCACTTGCAACTCCCCGGCGGAGACCCGTCGCGTCTTTTACCCTTCGCGCCTTTAATTACTTCTCCTCTTTTAAACACTTCACACTCCCCGCGGATTTCAAGATAACTCGCAACAATCGTTTCTCGATAACAAACCGAAGTTTCTAGTTTGTATACCGCTTTATTCGAGAGAGAGAGAGAGAGAGAGAGAGAGAGAGAGTGGGAGAAAATCGATGGAATTATTAAGCGATCTCATCAGCACAGTCTACAATCGCTTGCCGAAACACGTGGATTTCGCTCGGCAATACATCGCCACGGTCTTTCTTGTGTGTCGCAGAATGTCCGATTTCCTCGCCGACTGCGCCGAGAGGATAATCGTCTTAGGCATTGTGCACCGACGTATCATAAATCGTTTCCGGAAATTCATCTTGTGGCTCGGCATACCGCTGCATAGGGTACAAGACACGAAACCCAACGAGTTTTGCAGGATCGTGTCCGAATTCGCCCTGGAGTACAGGACCACCAGGGAACGAGTGATACAGCAGCTCGAGAAGAAAGCCAATCATCGGGAGCGCAATAAGACCAGAGGGAAGATGATAACGGAGGTAAAGCGTTTCCGTTCCGTCTCGCTGTATATCCCATTGCGTTTTCGCTGAAAACATTGATGGCGGATTCGGTCGGTCGGACTCGCCATTCTTCGCCGGTGTTATTCCGAATCCGATCTGTGATCCGCGAGAGATTGTCTATTTCCGCCTCGAGCGTACGACTTTACCAGTGAAGATGCCTTTNTTTTTTTTTTTTTTTTTTTTTTTTTTAATCATCTCTCAGCGTAAAATTTCGCGGTGAACGCGGCTCTCGCGTTTGTCCCGGCTAAATCCAACCAAAATCGCGATCTCGCTTTTGTTGCAGGTCGGCAAGTTCCGCACAAAGGAGGACCGAGCGGACGCCGAGCTCAGACAGCTGCTTGGCAGTGACATCTCCGACGTCGAAAGCATCCACGGCACTTTACCATGGCGGAGACAGAAGAAAGACGGTGAGTTCAGTCAAATTTTCTCCCCGCTTCCGCGTCGATTCACCACCCTCCCCCGTCCCACCGCGTGGTTTCGACTTGTCCCGATGCGTGTTTCGGAATTCTTCACCACCGGCGATTCCACGCACGGTGAATGCGCAGGCTGCACTCCATTCTGCACTGTCAATAGCGATCAACTATTTAAGCCCGCGAATGAATTGTTCGAGCCACGCGTTATCGCATAATATAGTCGCCTTGTGTTGAAATATGTAGCGGTCCATTATGTGTTCCATCAGGCGACATAATATAATAAATACCCCGGAGTATACACGCCGCCCCTCCCTCTCCCTCGTCGGAAGATATTTTTAATTCGTTTCTGTATTACGCATACGAATATCGTGCGCGATTTACGAGCTCTCAGTTCTCGTTAAGGGAAAATCCATGTAAAATTCGCGCGCACGGTAACTCGCTGACACACACATACACGGACGGTGGATGTGCACGAGTGAGAACTGTAATCCTCAATACCGAACTGCCACCGGCAGCACAGAAGAGGAAACGCTCTCGGAGAGTAGGAAACGCGTGACTCTCGCGACATCCTGTACAACGGGGCATACAACGGAGAATGTATTCATGAATCGAGTAAGAAGAAACACACACACACAAGTCGGGCGAACGAGATTTTATCACCGCGGGCGATCACGACGGGCGGCGGTCTTCTAGCCTCAATTTGAGTCCTCAGCTTTTAGCTCGCGCCTCTGCGAAAATAACGCTCCACTCGCGCGCGCGCGCCTCTAAAAGGCGGCGCGCACGGCCACGTCGTCGACTATTCCGCCACGGATAAGAACAAAGTGCGAGAATTTCTCCTCATCTCCGTGTAATGTTCCAGCTCGGTGGCGGCGGTAGCGGCGGCAGTTCGTGGCGTGCTCGCGCGCGCGAGATAAATGTCGCCCTTAAGCAGCGGCTCTTGCAGGCAAGATTTAAGGATAGCGCCGGGTCATTTGACGATATTACCGGAAAACGAGAAGTAAATGCCGTCGCCGTCCTCGTGATTATACTCGAATCCAGTTTCTCTCCCCCCTCCTCCGTGTTTAGGCGGACTGTAACGCGGATCTTACGCGGGGAACTCTCCCGGCCCCGCGTCCTTCGTTATCTTCATCGCGTACGCCCCGCACACGCGGAGAGACTTACCTCCGGCGGCGAGTTTCTCTTTTACGCGCCGGATTTTCTCCCGTTCGAGACTGCGCCGCATTTCCTTCCTTCTTGCCTTCCTTTCGCCGCCCCCGTCGGTATGCGTTAAGCCGTAAATGTAACTCGGTTGTAAGTAGCATTAACATTCGGTGGCGAGAAGCGCCGGGGTGCAGCCGGGGGGTGTCTTCTTCGGCGCGGTCGAGTGTTGCGCTTTATAAATTCCCTATTCATGAGAGAAAAATTCTCAACCGAGCGGAGAATTTCGCCCGGCCCGCTCTTTATCGCGCTTTACGCGCGCACGTAAGACGCACGGCAACTTCGTCCCTGGGGGGAGGCGGAATTTAAAAGTAGTTAACTTCCTGGGGGAATATTCGAAGCGACGTGGATATTATTCGAGTCGGCGGCTGTGCTCGCCCGCGCGCGGAAGTATCGCGCAAATAACAGCCCCTGAGAAATTTATTCCTTGAATTCGTCCGGAAAGAATTCCGTCCGTCGGACTTTCCGATGTTGTAAGTTTTATTGTAACATTGTTCGCGAACTCTCTCTATCTCTCTTTCTCTCGCTATCTCTCCCGCGCTTCTCTCCCTTCTTCCTCTTTTCTCATCTTCCTCTTCCTCGATTTTCTTCCCAAGTCTATCAATTTCCTCCTTTGCCATCTTTATCTTTCGCGGATAAATATTCATTCAGCGTAGTTAGCGAGTCTGTAACATTTCTTTCACGCCATCGGAAAACTGTCCGAGGCTCAATCGCCGTCAGCTGAGCAGCGCTCCAGTCCGCCAGGAACCTGACAATTTACGATAAACAACTAATTATGCGGAATTATGCGGAAAAAATATTGTAGCAAACATTGCTACAAAAGTGTTTTCGTGCTGGATTATATCGGAATTATTGTCGAAATTATTAACCTATAAATGCGTAATATTCCTGGAATATTATATGAGTATTATTCAATATTAAAATAATATTTTTATAATATTCTAAGAATGTTATGTAATATTTTGTAATATTATAGGGATGCTCTATTAATGTTATATGCCCACTTCACATAACATTCTTGGCATATTGAAAAATGTTCTTAGAATATTAAAAAAATAATAATAATATAGAAAAAATATATATATATATAATTTTTTTTAAGTATAAGACATATTTTTACACAAAATTCTTTCGACTTTATTTATATAATAAAACAACTGAGATAAGATAAATAAAGATAATAATAATAATTTTTAGTGATGCTCACATATGAAATAAATCACTAAAGATTATAAGTCACTAAAGATTACAATACATACCATAATTCCGGTACGATTCAGCGTTACAAAATTTTGTTTCGCAATTTTTCCGGCGATGTCTCCTCCGTGATATATCAACGTGAGTTGTAAAGAACGATAGTTTTCGCAGAAAAGCATAAATCATGATTGATATACTCAGCAAATCACACGTATCTCACCTGGCCTTGATCGAATGGCCGAACAATCCGTCGACTTCGCTGTATACCCGTCGTCCGGAATATCGTGAAACATCGTCAAGCATCATCATAGTAAATACGACAATCGGATCCTCGGTATGGGGGAGGCGTGTTTACTTAGGGCGCGAAGACTCATCGTTACGTACGATCAAATCCCACGGCGATGTCCCGGGAGGGAGATTTAACGGGAACGACTGACACGTCCCGGATCTCGTAAGACTATATTAGGTTGTAACCGCGAATCACCACTTTCCCGGAGATACGTGGAATTTTTATTCCAGCTGTATCTCTCTCTCTCTCTCTCTCTCTTCTCTTGCCCTTTCTCGTGCGAGCGCACAGGGGATACGCAAGGGATTGAGCCGACTCAAGGAACAAGGGTTTGGAACCTACACCGGCCCCTGTACAGCTCGTAAACCCAGCCACCACCCACGTGCATTACCGCGGCTGCAGCCGTCATAACTTTTCTCCCCTTTATTCTCGCGTATGCTCCGACATAAAGTATCTAAACGCTCGCCGTCTAAGTCGTGCCAGCGTTTCCAGCTGGATGACGGTACTCCGCTCTGGAACATCTGGAGGAGCCTCGCAAACTCTCTTTGCGACGATGACGATTTGTTTTAAAGGCAAGCCGGCCTGCCCGCGTGACGATAATATTACGAGCACCAGCTCGATCGCGTTCGAATTAGAAATCTATTACATGTTTTTATTATCATTATAGAGCTCTCTCTCTCTCTCTCTCTCTCTCTCTTTCTCTTACAATCCAGTCGCTTATGCAACGAGAGAGCATTAAGCGGAACGTGCTATCGAGATCTCCCGACGTATCAGATCAGATCAGCGAACGGGAAATCGCTCGAGAGTGCTCGTACATTCCGTACGGTAGAGCGACCACGGAAACGAATTGTCCGGAATTGAGCCACACTGTCGTCAAAGAACGCGTAATAAGTGAGACTTAAAGATCTCTCCAGCCTCTTTCCGTCCCGCCCATGAAAATTCTATTACCACCCTTCTCATCCGCCTCTCTCGTCTTCTCTCCTTTCCCACGAGCATTTGTATCGAGAGAGTGCACGGAACGACCGCCGCGATAGCTTTTCTCGGGTGAGTTTGAAAGAAGCTCTGAAAGAAATTCTGTGCATTTGACAGTTTCGAAGTTTCTGCCCGGCGAGCTGAACGGGGTGACTATCCCGAATAGGAAATAAGAGACGGCGAGAGACGACGGGGAAGACGGATTTCATGGATGCACGCGATTTCCTACGAGGGATTGTCTTTGATTAAACACGCCGCCCCTTTTGACAGTGTTCCGCTTCGAGTAACCGAGACAAACTGTCCGCGATAATGTCTCGTAATTTGTAAGGATACGTGAGACACGCTTTGAAATAATCATTGACACGATAACTCACTCGCCGGCGCGAGTCGGAGAGGCTGCGACCCAACGCGAGCTCACTCGTCTCTCAGCTATTGAGCGCGGAAGAAATGCATTGTTTTCTATATTTTATGTAAATAATTCGAGAGGAGGGAGGAAGCTGGACATCGTATGTCTGATTTCTGATTGGCTCCACCATTTTCAGCCCAAGCTTCCGATTGGGGTATGTCAAAGGCTGCTTTCTAGCAAAAGATTAAGCTGAGTACGAGTCTAGTTATATCCTTTGTTATCTTTTTCTTCACCAAATGCGAAATAATCGCATGATGACAGTAAACGATGATATCATTAAACTTGTATCGATTTGTGCCTCTTACTGGAAAGCAACCAAAGTGATCAGCTGAGTGGCAATACAAGCAAAGATTTGCCATCTGCGAAATTTACAAAGAATGTTAAAAGAGAAGTGAGTTTCTGCGTTTCATGTTATGATTAGTTATTAGTTTATCTTGGCTGGCATCTATTTTAACAGTATTTGTATATTTCGCGTATTATGCTTACGAACTTCTGGTTGACGGGTCGAACATGGCGGCCCCAACGACGATGTTCGAACTTTTATTATAGGGACTCCACAACCGAGTTTAAAGGTTCAAAGGGTGAATTTTTGCCGGTACTTAAGTGGAGCGGGAAATCTCGCTCTGTTTCAGGACGTATAATCACGTTGGGTCCGGTGCTGAGAGACGAGAGCACCAACGGCAACCTGGCCGACGGTGTGGACGAACTGTTGGAATCTCTGGTGAAAACCGCAACGAAGACACCGGCCACCAGAACGACGCCACGCGAGCGCAAGAGGACCAGACACGCCGATCGTAAGTCTTGTAAGTGTGGCCCCAGCACCCTGCACCTAGATTCTCCTCTCCCTCCTTTATCGATCGAGCTCTGGTCGCGGAATCGATGACTCTCTCGAGGATTCCCGTACGACGGATGTAGGATATTCGGGAACACAGGAATATTTCATCGTGAATCATTGCGTAACAACTGAAATTTTAGTTCTACTTCAAGTCTAATTTAGTTTTACATTAAGTGTTCAAAAGTCTTTCATCGTGCGTCTTTGGTGCTACAAATGGAAGTTATTGCCGTTTTCTCCACTCGAAGGCTTAATGTAGGACTAAAATTTTGACTCCGGAAGACTATAAGTTCCCTTTGTAGCATCAAAAAAACACTTATTGTACTCCTTCGACGTTACAAGCGAAAACTTATTTCCATTTCCTCCGCTTGGAGACTTAATATAGAACTGAAAATTTCAACTCGGGAAAGAGTCACGTGACAATTCGCGCGACAAATCGAAGCGCGATAATTGAAAAAATCCCCTCGTTGACGGCCTCTACGTGTCATATGCTTCGACACGATTTGCAAATTCGCGTTCGAACGTAACGTAGGGAGCAAAATGGGTGATTTGCAAGTGGTGTGAAAATTCTCCGGTAAAGTTTCAATCGGCCACGGAAAATGTCGAGCACTAGCCGCAGAATTCCCCGATAATTTTCGATAACCGCGAGAGTCTTGAATTATTCGCCGCGAGGTGTGCATTATTGAGAACGGCCGGTCCACCGTTGGGGGTCGCCGGTGGGTCACCGGAGTCGATCGATAAGCGAGAAGTTTGGAGATGTCGGCGTCAACGCCCTAGATCGAACATGCGATCGTAACGCGCGTATCGTCGATTCGGCGTTTCTTAAATTTCCCATGCACCTCGTTAGCACCGAGTCCGCCTCCTCTTCGACGTTGGCGCAACTACCTCAACATAGTTGCTGTCGCAGTTGATCAACGTTTCGCGATGTAGATCACGCGCAAGCTCGAAACTACGGAGCGCGGTGAATTCGGCTGAAACTTTCGAACGGACACGGCTCTGCGTGCAACGCGAAATTACGAATGATAATAACGCGTAATTATTAATTTTAATCGTAATGTTGGTTCTACATCAACCTCGCAAATTACGTCGACCCGTGATGAAGAATCTCGAGATACAACTTCGCACAGACCGAAACAAGAAAGAAGAGAGAGAAAGGTGAATCCGTTTAAGATTTATCTAATATTTCATTATCTCGAGATTTTCTACCTGCGTACGCTATATTCTGAATTTCAGTATAAGCAACGTATTCATTATGTAATTTACTCAACTGCAGATCAAGCACGTACGATATGAAAATATTAAGTGATCCAACGAACATCAAATAGGTAAATAAGTGGATGAAACGACAAATTTTCTCCTTCCGCGATCTCTTTATTATTTCCTAATGGCGTTAGAAATTTCGATAGGGCTTGTAGATTCAAAACAGGTGAACAAGAAGGTGTTGTAACTTTCGTCGTCGACTGCCGCTATATCTCGCGTCCTGCACTCCGTCCCGGAATCAGCTTCCAATCATCATCGTGGCCAAGCACTTGATGATCTCATAAGAAAATACGGATCGATCGGAAACGCGACGTTAATTAACAATAATCGCACGTTAACCGACCACGCGAATGCTACGTGCCCTGATAAGTTTGATAACTGCCTAGGAGCTTCGGTTTATTTTGAAAGCTTTGATCTGATCTGCCGGTCGCCGCGTGTATATGTCACTCACAGCGACATAAGATTTTTTTTTTTCTTAAAGTATCAGGTATCCGCCACAACGAACGAAACAACACTTTTTATTAAATCGCACTTGCAAAACCATTTGATAATTTTTTTCCGCAAACACTCTCTTTTTCTTACAATAACAAGTTAGTTTGGTTTAAACCCAAATCATTTTCTTTGGATCTGATATCATAAATATCTTATTCAGACTCTGCATTTTCCATTCTCAGTTACAAGTTGAAAAATATTAATTAGAATGAAAATGACGAAGCGGCAGAGTCAGTCTCACGAACCGGAGTGTGGCGAATTAAAAACTCGCGAATAAGTGTGGCTAGTTAGGGTTAATCGAGCTGCCGCCGGTATCGCGCTAATTAATCGCATCTGCGTTTCTCCGATCAAATCGTATCTTCGCGAGTGTCAGTATCAGTGCCACGAGGAGTGTCCGGTATGCCACATCGGTGCAGCTTGTGGAGGATGCTGGGTCGGAAGGCCAGGACGGAGGATGCAGGACGCCGGGAAGCGATACGTCATATATCTCCAGGTGTGTCAAATCATTTATTATGCTGGACGTTTCGGGTATTAGTGGAAACGACTTTCGACGAATTCATTGATAAGATACTCGAATTCCCGCTTGCACGTCAACGTACAATATTTGTATTTCATACAATAGGAAGTATTGATCGAAGCAGCTGAACGGTCTATGAAGACAAATCTGTAATTAATCAAAAATTGAGAATAATTTATAACTATGAATACTATCCTTAAAAGAAGTGAGTGTGTTTAGAAGTGATATTTTATACGTCTAATAATGCCTCTCGGAACTCCCGCTTTGTTTACATCTGGCAACGCTTTCTTTTTATTGTTTTATCGTTATGTTACGGAATCCAAAATTAAGTCTCTATTAGTACACAGCATTATTGGACACATAACTCTTTCTTTTGCTCTTATAACAGTTTTCTATTCAGTCCTTTTAAGAAGTTCAAACTATTATCGAAATTTCCAACGTCAATGAAAAAAAAAGGAAAAAAAAACAAAGAGGTTATAAAGAAAGAAATTATTTCCCATTTATTCATTAATCTTTATATGATAAAGTTCTAATAGTTTATTTAGTATTAACTTGTCATACACACTCTATCTGCAGTTATATTACATAATGAATACATCACGTGTTTTTGAAATTAAGAATAGAGATTAAGTGCAGATAGAATATTGAGCTAATTAAAGATTAAATAATTCCGGAACAAAGTTCGTCTTGAAGCTTCAACGTGGGGAAACGACAGCTGCTGCTCGTCAGCTGCTTGTCTACGTCGCAAAGGTAGGTTACTAGTTCTTACAGTGTTATATCTCGAGATTCTCCATCGATCCTTCAAATTCGACGAGACTTGCAGGTGAAATAAAAATTCCAACACGGGTGTATTCCTCGGCGATTTCGGGGAGGAGAAAAGTTTTCTCCTCCTTCTCGCGGGAATCTAATCTGAAATCTCGAGAAAAGTCCCTCCAATGAGCATTACCAGCACGAGGTACGCATAATACACCGAAGCCGCAGAATTTCTCGCGTCAAACGTCCTGATAATTAAATTCGTTTCTTATTCGGGCGAAGTAGCGCGGGCAACGAAGTTTGCAGCACCTCGGGACTCAATTATCCAAAACCCTTCCGGTGCCCGACTGCACCGGTGCTGGTCATTTCGATAATTAAGCATTCCGGCCAAGTTCCGCCGAAGAAAAGGACCGACCCGTCGGTTTTCGTTAGAGGAACCCGATATACGGGAAGTGGCTCGTCGCGCGCGCGCCGCGTGTTTTCGCGCGGCACGGCGCGCGAATATCGATCAGGTGGAAATTTCGCCGGAAGTTGCATTTCGTTAGCGGCGGCTGAGTGTTCGCTGACGTGTGCGTATGACGCACACGTAGGCACACGTTGCGTGGAAGAGGAATATCCAACAATCCGGTCGAGATAACGTAACGCCGCGCGTAATGCCGGCAGATTATTCCGCTTTTCTCCGTTTCTGTTTTGCCAGGCCGGTGATCGATCCCGGTGCGCGCAGGAAGTCGAAATAATCCTCCGTCCGTCCGTCGGTCGGGTTCCCGATAGCGCGTAAATCTCGCCGTAATCCGATCGTCGAGTGCGTTGACCGGTCTTTCCTCCGCCGATACTTATGATAAGCCCGTTCGATGCGCGCGTCGAACACGTAGCCCGCGTTCCGCCATTGTTGAATACCGGAAACGGTGTATTTAACTTCGACAAAAGCGACTCGTACTTCGTAAACGGGAAACGCTCCTCCCGTCCGCCGCTCGATCTCTCGTAGTCCCACGAGCTTCTGAACGTTCGCACAACGGTGTCGTTACACCGCGTCTGTGTCGTACAAGTCCTCTTTTTACCGAGCATTAAAGAAATCGGTAAGAAGCTCGAGCTCTGTAACTCCGGAGTGAAAAGCTTCCGCGTTACGTGACGAAAATTTACGCACTCGTTGGCCGACACGACATCGATCATATCGCGCGTGAATGAATTTCTTAAAGCGTTTCGCCGTTGCACGTTGATTTTCATTGATTATCTTTACGCTGAATTGAAGTCTGAAGCACCGAAGATAAATGCGATACACTGGAGTCCTGGATATAAATAGAGAAGCGGGAAACTGAATTCGATATGTCGAAAGTTTGCTGGTTTTTGGGTGATATTTGAAGCGAACGAGCAAGGAGGTAAGAGAAGAAGGATGAGTAAAAGGCAGCCCAAGAATAATAGATTGTGATTGGTCAATTGACTTACTGCTTACGTCTTACTGTATACTTTACGTTTGCTGCAGACGGTCTTTAAAGAAGAAAAATTCGATTGCAAGAGATTGACCTCAATAATTGATCTAAGTAAGAATACTCTCCCCATAATTTATAGCTACTCAGGTCAGGATGTATTAAAAATGTATAACAAAAGTGCATATCAAAAATATATTATTGAGTTGCGCTAAATTTACGATCGAATGAAAATAGAAAGGCGTTTTAAGGGCCGAGCGCGGGTTGTTGGGATAAATTTATATAGGAGAATAATGGTTGTTTTTAACAGTGTTATCGCACGCGCTGACGGATTTTCCAGACTTTTACAAACGTACGTGGGGAATCTCCTTTCCAAGTTAAATCGACCCTGTATCCTAATTATTAATTTATTAATTATTAATTAAAACCCCGAGTACCCAATTAATAATTACATGTTCTTATAGTCGCGGTGGGGCGAAGAAAACGGCGCTATGTCCCAAGCAATACGTGTGTCTTTTAGACGCC